ATATCCCACAGGAGATGGTGGAACCTGGCTCCCTTGGCAGAGCAAAGTTGTATGGTGCAACCTCCAACTAAGAAGCTGTGCCTTCATCCTAGCTGCTTCTAGAGAGGAAAGGAGCAATAAATAGCCCAGCTTGTCCCTCACCATGGCCTGGTTTGTGGCCTTTACTGCCTTCCCATGGACCTCCATTGGAGGGCAGCAATATCCTAAGAAAACCGTCCTCTCCCACCTCTGGCTCCCAACTGGCAGGTGCAGACACCCCAGCAGAGCTCTTTGTCCAGAACCTGCACTCACCTCTGCCAAGATTTTGCTCCCACCACTAAAGAGAAAGCCCCAACAAAACCAGCTTTATCACTGATAAATAATAGCCAGAGATAAACCTGAACCACAGCCCAGATTCCTGCCCTGGGAATCACATCCAGGCCATGGCTGTGTACTTGCCTCAAGACTCACAGTCCAGTGAACGTGGTCCAGGTGCCCCACTCCACCAAGCGAGTGATCTGTGCCAGTCTGTTTACTACCCCTCTGTTGCTTAAGGCCTAGGGACTCTGGCCTTCCTGTTGCAAGCTGGTCCAAATCCCAGAGCACCCAGAAGGAAGACATTGAGTCAGTTGTGGTGTCTGGGCTTTGCCTTTAAAGTCTTGAGCAAAATAGGGATTCACAGAGCACTAAGGAAGAATATCTCTAGGGGAACCAGAGAAGCAGCCAAACCCCGTCCCCCCAATCCACAGCTAAACCTCTTATCCTTTTCCTACCCTTTATTAGCTGTTGACTACACTCAGATGAGTCTCCCTCCAACACTGGTAATGAGCACAAACTGGTCAAACCTGGGGATCCATGGCAGTCCCATAACCCTCTGCTGCTCTGGCCTGTGGTGTGGGTCACACACAATGCTGCAGTGCAGTATTTCACCTGTGTCCAGGCCATTAAACTCACCTGCAATCTGAAAGACAAGCTGAGCTCCCCACCTTTGCAGGTGCCAGCTTCTTTGTCTTTGCTGTGTACTCTTAGCTGATCAGCTCTGAGTTCAGAGGATGACTGAGGGCAGATGCAAGCCAGCTGTGCTGGCTCTGCTGTGGTGAAGAAAGACACAAAGCAGTGAAATCCCAAATTGGCAACTGCCTCCATGGGCATCAGGGAGCAGAGCTGAGCTAGAATTAGATCCTGCCTCCTGCTGCTTCTCTTGGTGGTGTCCTGAGAGAGCGAGTCCTCCCAGCCATGCCTGCGTGTCTTTGTGCTCAGCAGGACTTGTCCAGGCAAATCACCTGCAGTGCACCAGTTTGGTCCCCTTGGGCCCACACAAAGCTTGTCAGTACTCCAAAATGTAGGTTGCTACACAAATGCATTACATGTTTTTTGAGAACACAGATAAAGAAGGTAACATAAAATAAGACAGAAGCAGCCTCTTGTAGTCTTATCTTGGCTGCTCCAGATCCCTTGTGGTAGCTGCTCTCAAGGCCAGCCAAGGTGAATTTGGCATCTTTAGCGCTGGCTAAACACTAATTACCAGTTCCTGTCCTTGCTCTGTAAGAAATTCAGCTCCTTTCAGACACCCATTGCTCCTGTGACCTGGGCAGCACTACCTCTGTTAGACTGGTGTCAGCACACGCATCAAGGACCTTGCTTCTGAGCAGGATGCCATCTTATTTGAAGCTCTACAGCTGATGAGCATCATTTGTTACCTGGCTGTTATGTTCTCTTTCCCAGTGCGATGCCAGCTGTGGGCGAGGGATGAAGACCCGGGTTGTCTTGTGCGCAGGCCTGGAGCACGGTGTGTACAGGGAGTACCCTGAGAAGCACTGTGAGGCCTCTCAGAAACCTGAGGAGCAAGCTGCCTGTTTCAGGAGGCCATGCTCAACGTGGTTCACTACCTCCTGGTCTCAGGTAGGGCTTGGGGTGGTGAGGGGGAGATAAGACCTCATAGCCCTGGTTGGTGGAGCATGACCTGCACTGAGGCTTTCTAGCAGCCTGCTGTGCAGAGGGCTCTGTTAGGTCTGGATGGGAACACGAGTGCTGCTCTTCTGCAGAGCAGGCAGCAGGTGGAGGGACCAGCACATGGGAACTGGGAAAAACGTTAGAGCATGTGGATTATTGTCTCAAGCAAGAGCATGCCCTGCACTTGCAGGCAATAGAGCCATGTCTCCTCCTCTGCCCAGTCAGTGTTCTGTCTTTCCCTGCTTTCCCTTGATTTTAACTGGTGAGCATTTAGGGAATGGGGGGACAGGGGAAGCTGGGCCTGGCTTGCAGCAGCCATTTTCTCCATCTTCTATCACAGCATCAACACTTGAAGCAAAACCAATTCTGAGTTGCATTATAGAGGTGAAAGCAAACTCCTCCCTTGCTCTGCCCAAACCCTGACTCAGGGAGGCTCTCCTTCAGCAACAAAAGGGGAGCATAAGTTAGAGATCAGTGTGGGATTTGACCCAAACCACCTCAAAACAGTCTCCAAAGCAGGGATAGGGAGGCTTCACTAGAAGAAAGAACTTGGGAACTATAGGAAAAAAAAAAAGTCTCTCACTATCCCTTTCCTCTCTCTTGATCCCAACAGTGCAGCAAGACGTGTGGTGCTGGTGTGCGACTGCGTGAGGTGAAATGTTACCAGGGGGAAGCACTGGCTCAGGGCTGTGACCCCACTTCCAAACCAGAAGCCAGGCAGACGTGCCAACTCCAGCCATGCCCCACAGAGGCGCCAGGTAAGTCTGGGAGGGCAGGGAGGGAGAGGAGTCCTTCGCTCTGTCCCGCTCTTCACTGAGGGAAGTGCATCTCTTTAACCCCTTCTGTGGATGTTTCTGCTCCCCAGAAGAAGACTGTGAAGACAAAGTGACGGCCAACTGCGTGCTGGTGCTGAAGGTGAAACTGTGCTCTCACTGGTACTACAGGAAGGCCTGCTGCCAGTCGTGTCGGTTCAAGTCACCCTGACTGCCACCAGGCCGCACTTCCTTTCCAAGCTGAGGGACAAGAGCACCCTCGAGCCAGACTTTTACCACTTGAAGCCACCCCACTTGACTTGGCTGTGGAGCCAGTCCCTGTAGACCAGCCTGCACAGTGAGGAAGGATTCCTAGGACTTAGTCATCACCGTTCCCTCTCCACTAAGAGGATTTTACACAAGACAAACCATTAGTTCCTGGAAAGCTACTGCAAAGTGAGTTGGGGAAGCCTGTCCCTGCTGTTGTCATCTCTGAAGAGCTCTAGTTGGAGGTGGTGGGGCGCAGAGGCCAGCCCGCAGCAGGACACAGATGACAGCAGCTGTCACTCTGGTCTGCCCTGCAGGTTCATCTACTACAAGGGCAATTTCCTAAACACACCAAAAAATTCTGGGTCACAATAAAGAGCTAAACTGTAAAACTGTGGTTTTGGGATATGTGTACCTAGGACAGAGGCAAGGGAGGAAGAGGGACACGAGGAAGGAAAGCAGGAACACGAAGGGTGGGGAGAAAGAATCCTTGCACCATTACAGCTTCCAGGCAGCACTGGATAAACCCCATTTGTGTTGCCTGCCAAAGAAGAGCAGCCACTCCTGTTGTGTATTTCAAAGTCCTCATTTATTTCTGACATTGAATTTGGACCCATAGCTGAACAACAAAGAATAGTAACAGGAGGAACCTGAAGTGGAAAAAATCTAGGATCTCTGCCTCTACCCTGTCCTGTTCCTCCACCATCCCCCAAACCTTCTAAGCCACAGTTGCATCTCCCACATTTCCAGCCCTTTAGACTCACCTGTTTGTAGCTGTGCCAGGCCCAGGGTGTTGTGCTGGCCCTGAGGATATCCCTTGTCTTGGCCATCCAGCTACTCTGGAACTGCCTCCCCAGCCTTGGCACCTCGTTAGCAGGCAACAGGTCACACTTAATTTGCATGTGATGGAGATGACAATTTGGTTGCCTTCCTTTCCCCAGAAGGCTGACCTGCAGAAGCAAAAGCCCCCTGTGTTATTCCCACCCTCCAGAGGCCGTTGGGGTGGGAAGCCTCACTGCATGCCAAGAGGTAGAGTTGGGTGCTGGGAGCTGCTGTGCCTGCAAGCTGGCTCTGTGCCCTTTGAGCCTGCAGAGCCATGCATTGTACTGGGACAGAGTAACTTCTCGTGGCTCCCAGCAGGATGGAGACCCTCCTGAGCTCTAGTGGGAAGGATGGGATTTACTGAGCCAAGATTTTTTTCCAGTCATGGACTAGATCTTCAGGAAGGAGGATGGGCTGGATGGGAAGCAGTAGAAGCTATGGACTATCAGCCAGTGGGATCCGAAGAGCTTTGCTGCTGCTAACCTTCATCTTCCCTCCTGCCTGCCCTTAATCGGAGAGGACATCTAAAACCTGCTATCACTATGTGGAGAATGGGAAGGAGACTCTAAAAGAGATGCAACTGGGCTGAGTCTCAGGACAATGGCAATGCAATGTCTCTCTGGGCTGGAGGTGGGTGAGATGGTGCATAATACTTGCTCAAAAGGCTGTGTAAAGTGGAGGCTGGGGCAAGGTGTTTGGTTACAAGGACCATCACGACATCTGGCCTTCATCTGGCTCCTTTTCTATGGGTAGCTCAAGCACAGGTGCCAAGGCGTGAGCAGGTCCAAAGTGTAAATCAGCCTTTCGCCTGCTAACATGGACATTCGAGGCTCACGTAGCGTGTGCCTCCACGCTGAGACCTGCGTTTTCTGTGTGTGAACGGGGAGATTAAGTCCTGAGCAGCGGGATGATTTCTAAATTGCAGTGGTGAAAAGAAAACAACCCACCACTCACACCGCTGAGCACTTGTACGCTATAGTGCAAAGGCATGGCGAGCGTTTTCTGCCATTGCCTCCAACAGCATCCGCCCGGCTGCTGTCTGGGTCCCTCCTCCCTGCCATGAACAGGAACCAGTCCTGCACTGGTTGCTGTGGAATTGCCTGTGAATGATCGAGATGTCCTTTTAGTAATTTTTCACCTAATCTGATTTATGGAGGAAGAAGGAACTTTCCCACATTCATTTTTGCAGCAAGCCAGAGTCACTGGCTGTCATCACCAGCCCCAGAGCCACTGAAGCCAGGCTCAGGTCTTGCACCCTCTTCTTCCCAAAGCAAAAGGCAGGGACCCTCAGCCATCTGAACATCACTCTCCCATAGGAGGTCATGGGTCCCTCAAAAGAGGAGACATGACCCAGTGGTCTCTGCTGTTGCTGTCGAAAGGAAAACTCAACCTAAAGCCAACCTTCCTCTGGCTGGCTGGAGCTGTCGGGGTGGGACTTCAAATGCTGAAGGTGACCAAAACTGCAGTCATTTAGAGGTGTGACTCTTCCTGTAAGTAAAATCTTCCCATTTTTATGGGTCCAAGTTAAAACCGCTCCTATGAAAGCTCGTGAACAGTAGAAGAGGTGGAGCCTTTGGCCGCAGAAGGATCAGCCTGTGCCCGTTTGCGTGGGTGAGTGATTTTTGCAGGCAACTTTGCCTCCCCTGGCGGTGATGTAAATTCACGTCTTGAACTTCTTCAGCACGTGCAAAGACCGAAGCGGGTGGGAGGCGGTGTCCTATCTTACACTCGAACACAAAAGCTAACTGCTAGCGGCAACTAACGCGGTACGAGGCGAGCGGGACGATCCGGATCTTCCCTTCATTTGCTTCCTCGTTGCGGAGGAGCGCTGCCATTCTCAGCTCGCCGGTGGGGTTCGCCAGAGGCGGCAGGTCGCGGGTGGCTGTGCATCGCTCCACGTGCCAGAGGCTGTGGGCATCGCCTGGGGTGGCTGCATGGGGACACCGGGGGCCCTGCTCTGGGCTCAGGGAGTCAGGGGAGCCTGGGGGAATTAAATTAGGTTGTACTGTACATAGCCCTCGTTAGACAAGTCCCTTTGGGAGACAGAGTAGAAGAATAATGACACTTATGATGGTTTCGGAGGTGGCCGGTTTAACGTCACTCTTCAAGGTCTCTCGTCTTCTCGCCCATAAAGCTTAGCCGTGCCGGGCGGTTCAGCAGGAGGACTGTGCTGGTCTCAGGCTGGGCTCATGGGGTCCTCTCTGCATGATCCCCCTCCCGCCCCACAAAACCAAGTGAAAAGCCCCTTCATTCAAGTGGGAGCCATTGGGGGGCACCCTGTGCTAGTGGCGATGGTGACTACACCTCCGTGCTGATAGCCCGCGGGTTCGGGAAGCTCTCGCGGAGGAGGCTGTGGCGGCTCACCGGGAAGCTTTGCAGGGTGGCCATGTTGATGGGCGGCCCCATCTCCTTGTAGCACGTGGGGGTGTAGGTGACCCTCTCGCCCCCGTTGCGCACCATGTCGGCAGTCCGGATGTAAAAGGGGGAGCCGTAGGGGGAGCAGGTCGGGCAGTAGTTGTGGGGTCCGTGCTGGTTGAGCTCACTGGGGTGGCCCGTGGGGCTGCCCTGGCCATCAACCATGCGGGAATTGCAGGCATTGCAAGTACTGAGGTGCGAGCGTGTGGGAAGGTCGGGCTCTTCCTCTTCCTCCTCCTCCTCCTCTTCTTCCTTATCAGAGTCATCTTTCTTGCAGCAGTAGTACTGTGTGGAAGAGAAGAGGTTGCATTACAGAGTCACAGCATGGCCTCTGAAGATCACCCAGTCCAACCCCCCTGCCAGAGCAGGATCACCCAGACCAGGTCACACAGGAACGTGTCCAGGCGGGTTTTGAATGTCTGCAGAGAAGGAGACTCCACAACCTCTCTGGGCAGCCTGGGCCATGCTCTGGCACCCTCACAGTAAACAAGTTCTTCCTGATGTTTAGGTTCAACCTCCTGTGTTCCAGTTTGTGACCATTGCCCCTTGTCTGTCACTGGGCACAACCGAGAAGAGCCTGGTCCCATCTGAACCCCACCCTTGAGATATTTATAAGCACTGAGATCCCCCCTCAGTCTCCTCTTCTCCAGGCTAAACAGACCCAGCTCTCTCAGCCTTTCCTCATCGAGAGATGCTCCAGTCCCCTCATCATCTCAGTGGCATTAGGGGACATGAAGCAGCTGGCAGGCAGATTCGGCTTTGCAGCCAGCCCTGCCACATCCCCCACTCCCCTCACCCCCTTGCCAGATAAACCCCTCACCGGCCTCGCACAGCTCCACTGTATCAGTACCTGGGTCCTGCAAAGCAGCAGCAGCAGAACAAAGCCTGGACCTGGGGAACTCATTCTCTCCCCTGCCAGCGAGGTTTGCAAAGGGAAGGTGTTTTACTGGGGCGGTTGAAAACTCCTCCAACTAAGTGCTGTGCTTTTCATCACAGGGGCGCTGCTGCATGGCACAGACTTCACATTAACTTTTAAAGAGCAGGAGGCTGTAGCTAGCTGTTGTTGAAAGCCTCCTCGTTGAATTTACATAAGGAAAAAAAAATGAAAAAATCCTTCTTCATCTGGTATTGCAAACCCAACCAAGCCTACACCTAAATTATCAAGTGCTGCAGAGCCTCAAAAGCCTCAGGGGAGTTCTCCCACACCAGGAGGAGGGGAGGACATAACTCTGCAGCACCGGGGAAAGGGGGTTTCAACTCCCTGCCCATCATGGGCAAGAATCCTCCCTTGGGACCTCTCCTGTGCCCGCAGTTTGGCTCAAGGAGCAGCGATGCTGCTGGGGTTCATGGCAAGGTGGGGGCCAACCGTGGGGCTCACCTGTAGCCTACAGTAGCAGAGCACGGCAATGATGCACAGTAGGATCACCGTCGCTAGGATTCCCCCGGTGATAACAACAGTTCCCGCTGTCATCCGACCGATTCTCCATCAAACTCTGAAAGGCAGGGCCACGGGGACACGTGTCACCCCGGGACGTGAACCTCATCTACCTTGAGTGCCTCATCGCATCACGGACGTGACGCCCGTGAGGCATCCCAAAATATCACATCCCTTCCCCAGCTGGAAAACTATCACCCAGTATCATTCTCCTCCTCTTGGTGAGAGGACACGAGATGTGGGATCATGTCCCCTCGCTGCCATCGCTGCCTCTGGTTTGGGGCCTCAGGGAAGCACCCCACAGTGCACCCGCAGAGCCTCCCCTCTTGCTGAGCCAGCAAAGCTGCTTTCCTCCCTCCTGAGAGAAAATACACCTCCTGCTTCCAGGTGCAGAAGCAAGCCTGAGTTTCCCCTGGGAAAAGCCAAAGTGGAGCCTTTGAACTTTGCAACTCTAGCAGTCTGAGCCCAAAAAACACACCCCGGCTGCCTGTTGGGCACTGATGGGTCTAACCATCAGCCAAGCAGCCCCCACTGCCCTCCCTGTGCCACGGGACCTGGGGGCTACTTACGTTCAGTGACGGAGGCGTTGGACCTGGAAGAAGCAGAGGGAGAGGTCAGCTGTGGCCCGCCAGCATCCCTCCCGCACGTCCCCCTGCTTCCCGAGAATTTCCCGTGATTTGGGACCTGCGGGAAGCCCTGCTTCATGTCCTGCATCCCATGGGGACAGCACTCAGCGTGTGCCTGCACCCCAGGGAGCCTCCATGGTGCAAAAAGCATTTTGGGTCCTGCAGATGACAGACAATGATAAATAATAATAATAATAATAATAATAATA